GTGCTTAACCACTGAGCCACATCCCCAGCCTTTTTTGTATTTTATTTAGAGATAGGGTTTCGCTGAGTTGCTTCGGGCCTCACTAAGTTGCTGAGGCTGATCTTAGGCCAAGAGCCTGAAAATTTCAAGTGACTGAGGAATCTAAGACYGAGGAAGGGGCGCTGGCATAGAATGAAGAATACTGGTTAGCCCTGAGATTTTCCCCTGAGATTACAGGCGTGCACCACTGCACCCAGCTAGGAGCACCTATTCTTTACTATGATGTAATCCTTCCTTTTTCTTTTTCACATGTCCTTTTTGCCTCCTATCCTTCTGCTTTCTTCCTGCTCAGCTCCATCTTCATCTTTCCTTCCCTTTGCCTTTTAGATATCTCCCTTTCTGTTCTTACTGTCTTCTCATCCCATTAACTTATTAATAGGTTATAAATAAGTCCCAATCTGGGAAGCCTGGCCCTTTTTTGATAGGCATGTTTTACTTTGAGAGCAGAAATCCCCACTGTGCACTGGACACTCCCTATGGCTCACTGTGGCTGTTGTTATAAACACAAGGGCCACTGAGTGCAGGACCCAGGACAAGGAGGGTTTATCTCAGAAATTAACAAAGCAATGAGCATGGCAGGACTGAGCTCGGGCACCACTGACAGTAAGAAAAATAATAATGCTAACAGTTGCTGCTAGCCTTTCTTAAGAGCTTTCTACGTACTGGGTCCTAAGAGAAACCCTTCACAAATATTTTCTCACTTAATCCTTTCCACCATCCCATGAAGTAGGCTCGCTTGTTGTTCCCTTTGTACTGGGGAGGAAACCGAGACCAAGGCATACTGAGTGGTCCAGGTCACTCAGCCAGTGGGAGGCAGAGCCACATTTCTCAACCCAGGCAGTCTCTCCAGATCTCATCTGGGTGTCACTGACCCTTGGCAATCACAGGGTGGCCCTGAGGTCTCAGATTCCAGTTAACGCTGGCATAAGAATGAAGAGTACTGGTTATAGGTGAACCAAGGATAGGCAGGGTTGCTACAGACAGAGCCGTGTGGTCACAGGCACACACAGGAGCAGAGAACAGAGTTGGGGCAGGGCAGCCACTTTGGGCCAAGAGCCTGAAAATTTCAAGTGATTGGGGAATCTAAGACCGAGGAAGGGGCACCAAAGTGATGATCAGAAGGGGAGAGACAGTGCTTGGAGGTTCCAGAAAGGAGGTGGGGCATCACAGATGCCCAAACCTTCAGCCTGGAGTTTGGAGGGAAAGAGCTCACACCTGGGAGAGGCACTGGCAGATCCAGAGCTCAGGGACAGTATTGGGTACTGGGCTCAGAAAGAAGGACAAGTCCAGTTACCAGGCCTGGGACACTGTATCCAGAACAGATGGACAGAAGGTTGCTTGACAGTGAGGGAGAAGGGACTACTGGGATATCACTGAGCAGGGAAGACTTCATCCCATACACCCGTGACCTCAGCTGGGGTGGTAACACATAGACATGTGGCATCACAAGCTGCATGACAACCTGCCTTCCTTCTAATAATCTCTCAAAAACCCATAGTGTGTAAGTGATCTTTTACACATAAAAATGAGTGGATGCAAGGTGACCCTAAAATAGGTCTCTTTCACACTCTGACTTGCTTGTTTGAACCATTGAGTAAGAGAGAGAGAGAGAGATTGCCGGCATGTTTGCATAACCCCGGGGATGCCTTGCGAATGTGCCAGACGTGTCAATATCAGCCATTACATTTCGTAACCAAGAAAAGGCAGAAAATAGCCCTTAGAGGCAACAGGGGTGTCCAGGTGTGAAGCAAAGAACACTGTGTTTTATAAGCCCTTTTGCAATGATTGAATTCTATTCTTTTGTGTTATGTGTGTGTGTGTGTGTGTGTATCTAAAAAAAATGTATTAAATTTGACTGTTACATTATTAGTCCCACGCTCAATTAAAAGGGAGTAGTGGCATGAGGTGGGGGTGGGGAACATAGGAACAATATGCTAACATAKCGTTGCAGCTAGAAAACCCAAGGCAATCTAACTAACCCAAGGCAAATATAAGAATTTWAAAAAAAAGAAAAATAATAGTAGCCAGGGATCATTTAATGCAGTCATAAAGAGGTTCAAACACCTTTCAGAAATCATTACAATGCAGTGCATGTTAGACTTTATGGGACCAATGGCCATGCTGAGACCTCCGGTTAAGATGAGAGCACCCCATTGCACTGTGTTTAAGGAGGCAGGGAGCCAAGCCATATATTTTAGCAAGATTTTTATCAAGAGGAGCCAAAACTCAAGTGAAAGAAGGCAGGGTTCTCGTGTGCCTTTCCCTCACAGCGCTTAAACCATAATAATTTTTTTTATAACATGCTCATTGAAACTCCCAACCTGTAGGCGTGTGAGGGCTGGGACCATGTCTGTTTTGCTCACCCTGGCTGCCCCATGAGGCAAGTGATTTTCACAGAGATTCTCTTGCCTCAAACCACTTGAGATGTGGGTCCATTCTGTGCTAGGCCAAGAGGAGCCACAGGACTGGCCCCACACAGGCCCTGGGCTGCCAGAAAGTGGACTGAGGGAGGACACTAGAGCTTGTTCCCAGCCAGGCCTCCGGGATGCTTCACACACGGGAAGCCCAAGAACTTAATCTGCCGCCATCAAGCCTTGGTTCCATCTGGCTGCTRAGATAATGGGAACTAGAAATGTCCGCTTTGATGGCTACTGAGGAGGAAAGCTTACATTTTAGTGGAAAACCTCGGTACTGCCTCAGACTTTAATTGGGGTTTCTTATGAAATTTGATTTCTGTTCTCTCCAGTTTTCCAGACAGACGGGCCCTGAACAGGTGCAGCAGGAGGAGCTTCAGGACTCTCAGTTCAATTCACAGCCTGAGTGCCAGGCAGCTCTTGGAAGGGGCAGACCTGGCCTATTCCAGTAATAGAGAGGGCTTCAGAGGCCACTGTCTGCACCTGCCGGAGAGCTCAGATCTCCAGACAAGCCTGAAGGCCGTTCAGTCCTATGAGGGAGGGTGGCCAGTAGCCTCCACACATGGGCCCCACTCTTGGACTAAGACCACTCAGACCCCATGGCCACTACCTGGACTGGACTCCCCTGGAAGGCCTCATCCTCACACCCTTCCACTCTCTCCTTCCCCTTCTAAATCTCCTGGCCCTCTCTCACCCCCTTCCTTCTAACCCTCCTCCCTGACAGCCTCTCCCTTCCTTCTCCCTGGCCCTTCCATTTCCCCTTCTTAAATGAATTAGTTGAAAACACTCTTTTGAAAGGGCGAGGGTGACGGGGAGGAGGAGACGGAGTTCACACATGGACCTGAGTGGCGGCTTTCAAACTTGCCTTTACCTCCCCACCCAGACAGCAGACCAGGGTGATTGAGATCTCCTTGAAGGAAAGACGAAAGTTTAGCAAAGTGGCTTCAGAGGAAGAACTCTGTGGGAGCCTCAGCCCAGCGGCCTGACTCCCCGGCTGGGGCCTTCCGCCCACCCAGAGACACATTCTCCCGGGGAGAGGAAGTTCAAGCTTAGGGGGCCTCTCTTGCTCTAGTCCTTCCAGGGGCCTGGGAAGAGCCCCAGCACTTCGTTCCCAGGGTCCTATGTTTTTTTTTCAATATTTGCAATAGGAATATATTTTAAACACGGTGGAGTTCAACTGCTGTTTCTTTCCATTATGGCCTCCCCTCCCYCGTCCTCCTCTGCTTAGAGGGCTGCAGGCCCTGAGGGGCTCCAACTCAGGGAAAGCTGGACTGGGACAGCACTTTGTTTGGATTGAATGGCACACATTTGTATGGGCCTTCTATAAGTCACTGCTGGCCATCCCAGAGTAGGAAACGTTTATAGAAATAGTGCACAAAAACTGAATTAAATATGAATGTGTCCTTTGGCACCTGGCATCAGAAGTCTGTGGGCAGTGGAGGAAAAACAAGGTTGGAAATGCACTGAGCCASAAGAGGCGACAGAGAATTCTTCCATCACAAGATGTGTAAAATTCAGTTCTCATTGATGCCCTGTCAAAATGGAAATCCAGAAATGCATTCAATAAGGGAGATGTGGAGGGATAAGTGTGCTGCAGGTTGTTTATGGAAAGTGCACGAAATGAAATTGATCAGAAATCTCACACTTTTAGAGCATTACCCTAACAGCGATGCACACTGCAAGCGTGCCTAAGGGTGAGGAAGCAAGCTCTAACGTCTCCCCGCTATCAATAATTTTGATCCATATTGCAAGAGGAAGGGATACCTTTTCTTTCCATTCGCCCTAACATAAAATCGTTATCATGTGAAGAAAGTATCAAAGTATAGAAGCAAATATTACAGAGGGATTACTTTACAGGTGTGTCAAAGCATTCATTAAAACATTATGTGTGTGTGTTTTCTGAATTTTGAGATGCCTATTTCATTTACCAGCTTTTTTTTTTAAATGTGTAGTTTTTCAGTAATTTATTTTCTCTTTCTTAAAAGGCCCTTTTGTTTCCAATTTGATATTTGTATTTTTGTATTCCTTTCCTTGAAGAAAGCCCCCCAATTTGTATAAGCCTCAGCCCCCACAAYCTGGATCCTCCCTATGGGAAGCTTCACTGAACATCTGGACAAAGATACGATTTTCTGTCTCAGGAACCCTGCTCTAGACGGGGCACCTACAGTCCCAGGAGAGTTTGTTCAGTGGGTTCTATTGTGGTACCATGTTGCCTCCCCTCCTGGATCCCTGTTTCAGAGCTATCGAGGTCTTTTGTTCCAATGGCTCCCATCCCAGGCTCTCAGGGTCTCTGCTCTTGTTGGGAAGGACAGGAGCAAGAAATTGCCGTTGATGCTCAGTCTCTCCAGCTGTGCTGAGGCCCAGCTATGCACATTCTCATTTGACATCAATCTATTTGAGGGTCTTCTGATGGAGGGAAGGTAGGATGGTTTTCTGCCAAATCTTTTTTTAGATTTGCATCATGTTTGGGTCAGGTGATCTTATGCACAAGGTGATCTCGTGCTTTCTGTAGCAGGGCATTTACCAGTTTTCTGCTTTCTTTAACAGAGTTGGTGTGGACCTGGACGAAAATCTGAAGGAGGAGCCCTCCTCATATCAGGCAAGTTAAACAAGCCAATGTATAGTAGTTAGAGATATGAGATATTCTGTTTCATGAACTGTTCCAGGTTTGTCCAACATGGAACCAAGATGCTCATTCTAAACAGGGCTGYCTCTGTGGATAAAACAAATCGAAGACAACAGAATGCACAGGAATTCAGGGTGTTGACCATTTTTAGCGTGCCAAGGCTCAGCACTAGCATGAACTTACAGCCTCTCTGTGGCAGCAGGAAGCCTGAAAACTACAATGTAGGAACCAGACCATGGCCCTTAAAATGAGGCACCCCATGATTCAAATCCCTGCCCAGCAACTTGCTAGCTTAGTGATCTCAGTGAATTTACTCAGAACCTATCTGGTTCATGTTGAGCACACAACAAATAGACCTGTTCCTCCCACATGGCTTCTCATTAATCAGGTATAAGTTACAGAAATACTGAAACAGGCAGGAGCCTGCAAAACTATCTAGGTGATCCATTCCTGACTTAACTGAGCAATGATTATTATCCACAGAGACCTAAACATCCTTTCAGAAAATTGTTCAGAGCGATGTGCTATTCCCTTGAGTAGAGAAAAGTTATTCTCCAGACTCTGGATTTGAAACTGATAATGTCAGTGCTGCATTAGCCATATTTACCTGGATGCTTAAAACAGATGAACAAATGTGTGGAAATGTTATACCTTTTGCTGCAAATGGAAGTAAGCAGATGTTGTTGGGATAATGTTGTCAGTACGTGATGTTGCTAATGAATCACATTATGATCATATGTGAATTTGAGGACAAGCTACCTTGCTTTGTTTTCATGGGGTTTTTCCCCACAATACACCTAATGAGGCACAGCTCCTTGGTGTTTATGAGCAGGAAGCTGCTTTCCTGGTTCACACGGGTAGAAAGAAGGAAGGAGCCTGTGCACTGCAGAAAAGGCTGAGAAAATAAGTTGCCCTGAACCTGACTCTCAAGTGCTTGGACTTTGTTGTCTCCTGTGTTACAAGGCCRGGGCTGTGCTGTTTTCAGATCTCATTGCCCAGGGTACACAACTAACTGCAGGGCTGAGCCCAGCAGGGGTGCCCAAAGCACTGGGATTAGGGCCAGTCTGGTGACCTTAGGAAGGAGATCAAAGCCCATCTCCAGGCCTGGCAGCAAGTAAGGTCCTGTAGTGGCTGCATTTTGAAAAACATTTTCATCTTGTACAGGTCAAATAATCTATTCCCCTGCCTTCAAGCAAAACTTTCATCTAAATCTTGTTCTTCTCATACACCTTTTTCTTTAAAAGAATAAGAAAATTCTTTGTTTTCCTCTAAGTGCCTCAAACTTTGCAATCACATATAATTATTGGTAAAAATTTCCTGCTAGCCTAACACCATCCTTTTACAATTTGAAGTATTTTATTTTAGGTTCATTCATGTGATGCTTTGAAAACAAAGTTCACCATTGTTAATTCGGTAATAACTCTTCTCTGAAGATATTTCAGCATTGAAAGGTATTCTTTTATCGTTGTTGTTGTTAGAGAAATAGGGCAATAGAATCTAGAACCGTGAACACTATGGGTTATTTGCATCTTAGACAAATTTTTTACAGTTTGAGTCTCAGTTTCCCTGTCTGCACAATGTGAATGATAACAATGCCCACCTCTCCAGACTATAACAACAATCAGGGGAAATTATGTTTATGAAAACTACCCAATTTAATTAAGTTAAATCCATTTCATTTCATAAAAGATTTGAGGGAATTTATACCACTACATATAACTAAGTAACAGTAACATATTTATAAGGAATTTTAGAATTCAGATAATAATAATAATAATGAAAGATTAATAAAGAAAACCAAACCCAGAGAGGGTAAGGAGAACCAGGAATAAGCAAATTGAAGGGTCAATATCCTTGCTGTCATGGATCTGTAAGTGAGCTTTCTGGTAGCCAAAGAGGGCAGAAAAGAAATTATCAGTAACATACAAAATTCTCATCATTAGAGGGGAAAAAAATCATACTGCCTCTTCTAGTGGTACCAAACTTCACAGGTCACTATGTTTTAAAAAACATCACTTGGAGCCCCTGGCAAAGAACACAGTGAACTATCTCAGTGTGAAGTAACTGATATTATAATTTACCAGATTCCCACTAAACTGCTGCTGCTTACAAACAACTTTGCTTTTAAGAAGCAGCTTCTGTGTGTCCGTGTTCACCATAATGTGTCACTGCCAAGGTCATTAGGTTTCAGAAAGAGGTTTTGTCCACATGTGGGGGTAACTGGCCGGTGTCAAGTACAGGAAAGGGTGGGCTCATACCCAAAGTAACAAACAACGGTATTTATGCAGCTGTCAATCAACCTGGACAGAGTTGGTTTTGAATATTTTTATTAGTGCATTATACATATATGGACGACAGGAAAATGAGAGTATATGGGGTCTGAACAGACAATTTGGGAAAACAAACAAACAAACAAAAAATCAGTCCTGGAGAGGATATTGGAAAAAGGTACGCCGCATGGTTGGTAGACTGCAAATTAGTACAACCACTTTGAAAAGAAGTATAGATGTTCTTCAAAGGACTAGTAATGGAACCACCATGTGACTCAGTTATCCCAGTGGATAAGCATATGCTAGTCATATTACTAGTTGTGTGTGTGTGTGTGTGTGTGTGTGTGTGTAGTTTGCTTCATTTCAATCATTAGTACTTCCACTTTTCCCTCCCCTCTTGTCTCCCCATGATTCCCTTCATCTACTCTATTGCTCTTTCTTCTATTTATTTATTGTTTTTTTATTGGTGCTTTATAGATACACATAAAAGTGGAATTMACTGTGATATATTCATATGTGCATGTAGCATAATTTGGTCAATGTCATTCCACAGTTCCCTCTCCCACCTCACCTTCCTTCCCCTCAATCCCTTTCTTCTACTCCACTCTTCTCCTTTCTATTTTCATAGGATCCTCTCTCTTTTTTTATTTTTTTTTTAYTTCCATTTCTCTCTAGCTTCTGCATATGAGAGGGAACATTTGATCCTTGACTTTTTTTTTATTTCACTTAGCATGATGTTCTCCAGTTCCACCCATTTATCAGAAAATGACATACACAATTTTATTCTAATTTATGGTTGAGTGAAAACTCCATTGTGTATATATACTACATTTTCCTTATCCAATCCCCTGTTGACAGGCACCTGGGCTAGTTCCAGAACTTAGCTGAATTGTGTTTCTGTAAACATTGGTATGCATKCGTCACTAGAGCCTGCTGATTTCAGTTCTTTTGGATAAATACAAAAGAGTGGGATAGTTGGGTCATATGGTTGTTCCATTACTAGTCTTTTGAGGAATGTCCATACTGCTTCCCAAAGTGGTTGCACCGATTTGCAGCCTACAAACCATGCCTGAGTGTACCTTTTTCCAATATCCCCTCCAGGACTGGTTTTATTTTTCCAAATTGTATGTCCAGAACCCATCTGCCCTCATTTGCCTGTCACTTACTTATTATCAGCACCACTGGTTCTGTTGGACCCCAGAACATAACCCTAATTCTTAAGAATGCATGTTTCCACTTGATTTGCATTTATTAAACTAGGTTTGCATTAACCAGGAAACTAATCTTTGTACTCATCAAAGGCTATTCTTTGTTCTTAAAAAAAAATCCTATTCTCTTCTTGTTGTTGTTCTTTTTAGTTATACATGGCAGTAGAATGTATTTTGACATGTCATACATACAAGGTCCTATTCTTAACTAACCAAAAGCTAAACCTTTCACAAGTAGTTATGACCATTACTGACTGTGTATGCTCAAGATCAAGAATAAACATGCATAATTACCTGTGCCTATTCTTGTTCTGCTTGTGGGAAGTGAAATAAATAACCTTTGGGATCTAAACTTGTAATATTTTTAACATAGTTCTAAGCACCTTTCATGTATTGCTTCACTTGGTTTCCAAGATACCCCCAAGTGGGTGCCATTATTGTCCTCATCTTACACATAAGGAGATTGTGCATAGAGAATGACCTGACCAAGGGCACACAGAAGGCAGAGGTGAAGTCTGAGCAGACAAGTTGGCTCCAGAACTTCCACTCTTAGCAAGTGCACATCATTCATTCCCGCCCCTAATTACTGACACCACTCACTGTCAGGTCCTAATCAGGGCGTGAACAGGATTTGGCAGTTGTCATTTCAAAAGTCTTCTCCCTTGCAGAGCTTCTATTCTAAGGAGGGACATGGTGAGAAAGGTAAACAGCTATATAGTTTAGGTTCCGAGGAGAACAACACMGAGCAGTCGAGATGGAGAATGGAGGGGAGGCCATTGGCAAGGGAGGGTGGGCCTCTCTGAGAAGGTGGCATTTGATCAGAGAGCTGAATGATGTGCAGAAGCAAGCCATGTAAGATCTGGGGCACCAGACAGAGACCCGGGGGTCACRATGGGTTAGTGTGCCCAAGAGCAGCAAGAAGGCCAGTATGGCTGGAACTGAGTAAGCATGGTGGGAGCAGATGGAGATAAAGTGGGAGAGATGGACAGGAGCCAGCTCCCGGGTCAAGGTGGTGAGCCTGATTTTATTCTACATGTGGTGGGCACCCTTGGCAATTTAGAGCTTGAAAGTAGTAGAACTAATCCTTTGTAAAATTTTGTTTTTCTCCCCACTTCACTGTCCACTGTTACGATCAAGCTAACTTTCATCATTTCTAACATAATGTCATTTTTTAGCACAGTGCTTGTTTCTCTGTGATTTTTCCTCATGTTAACTTCCAATTTTCTTTTGCTTCCCATAATCCCTTCATTGAAATTCTGGCTTGGGTTGTCCTCCGTGTGTGTGTGTGTGTGTGTGCGTGTGTGTGTGTGTGTAAGCTTGGTGGATCAGTTCTGGTCACTGCTGCTCAAGGAAGTCAGAGCAGAGCTCAGAAAGGTCCAGCGAAAGGAAACCGAAATTGCTGAGAGCGTGGGTACAGCTACCAGAGGGATGGGGATTAAAGGACCAGGATTTCTCCACCAGAAAGATGAGGGCTCAAAAGGGACACAATGAAGT